TTTTGCTTTTGTTTTTTTAGCTTTCTACCTCCCCTCTATTATGATGCGGCATTGATGGTCATCGTGTCTTGGCAATGGTTCGTCCCCTGCTTCCTTGTAGGAAAGGTGGAGTGTTTGTGGGAGGTGGGGAGATGGGGAGGGACATGTCTGCTTTGGTTTTTGTTGTTGTTGGTGCTATTTTCTTTTTTCCCCGCTTTTTTTTTTCCGTCTGTGTGTGTGTGTGTGTGCCTCCACGCCTTGGGGAGGGAAGGGCGGAGGGGAAGTCTTGGAAGATGTTCATTGGTGCCACAAAGCCCCACACAACACTTGTTGCGGAACACACATTTCTGCTCTGTAAGCCGGATGCGGAACAGCACCACCGCTACATCTTGCAGACCGTGTCAGATGCCGGATTCCAAGTGATGGCAAAATCTTTTATCATCACCCCTGCCTTGGCTGAGGAGATTGCAAGTACGTTTCAGAGTGTACGGAAGCGCATGTACGCAGAACGTGGTGTGGACAAACTTTTCAATGGTGGCAAAACTGCTTTACAAAACGAGCAGAATGCACCGCAAGGTAAGCGGAGGGACATCATGGACACAGGACGTGCCAGTCTTCTCCCGACCTCCTTTGCTTCTGCATTTATTGGCAATGCCGGGGGTGAAGAAGTCAGCAACCCGAATAATATCAGCAGCCGTAGGCGCAGCGGGAGCGTTCCCAAGCGTCACTGCAGCCGAGACGAGACGCATCAGGGTATATTAGCAGAAATTCTCCGTTTAACAAGCCGCTGCGCCGATGGGGGCGAGGGTGTCAACGCCGGACTACCAAACGTTGCCCCCAATAACCGAGCGGTGGACGGGCGCGGTGTGAGCGAGGGCGACGGACGTCAGGATGAGAACCGAATGCAGCAAGAACAAAAGCCCGAACGTCGTTTGGCGACCGGGACGGTGTTGAAGATACGATGATTGAGGCCATGTCCTACCAGGACCTTCTTAACGAGCACGTGCGACATCTCGCATTCGGCGGGACGTGCTTGGCGGTTGAACTTTCCCGTCACAACGCGGTGGAGAAGCTGTTGGAGATTGTCGGTCCGGAAAATCCCATAGACGCACGCCGTGCCGCACCGCATAGTCTCCGCGCACGCCTTGGGACAGATTTGATTCGCAACGCCGTTTCCGCCGCCTCTAATTTGGCCGAAGCGAGTCATTGTATCTCCGCCGTCTTTGGTTTCGCAACCCGCTACTCTGCCGCAGACATTCGTGCCCACACCGCAATGCCAGAGGCTGGTGGCGTCGAGAATAATGAGCAAGTCAGTGGTGTTCCTGCGATTGTGCGTCCGTACTGCGAGCTGGTGAGTGCCCCTTACCGGGCCTCGCCCCGCGGCCCAGTGGCCCTGGAAGCGGCTTTTCGTATCGGGAAAACCAACCCACAGGCTCATCTCTCGTACTACACCGGACGGCCCCTTTACGGTCGGGCAAACGAAAAGGAAGAAGATGACGGCACGGGGAGGCGTGGTCCTTCGGTCGACAGCCATTTGTGGAAGCAGAAAGCAGAACAGCTGGAGCAGCAACTTGCGCAGGAGCGGATGGATTTGACACTGCATGCGAAATTACTTCGGGCGCGGGAGTTGGATTTATTGCTACGCGAACATGCATTAGAGAATGCGACAAACAATTTGTTTGCCCCGGCACAACCGTTCAAAGCGACGTTGGAGGCGCAGTCTCTCCCGCACATCTCGCCGTTATCCTCAGAGGAACAGTTGATGCGGACACATCTGGCACCAGCTTTGATGCAGGGAAAACAACTCTCACCACGAAGTAAGGGGGATGTAGCGACATCCCGTCAAGGTTTGCCGGAGCCGCATTCGCCATCAGCACGATATTTTTCTACGGAAGCTTATACGCCCGAAGTGCGCGGGGTGCTGCCCGTAATTGAGGCGGAGGACGTATCCCTCTTGCTAACGAAGCCAGTTCGTCTCCGTGCGCTTTACGTAGCCTTGAAGCATCACTGTGAAAATTGTCAACTCACGCAGGATGAGGTTCTCGCTCTGTACGACCGTAGCCCCTCCATTCAGTTGCTGTGGATGGACGACCACCGTGAGTACTTTCGCAATTATGTGAACCTTCACACCGAGGAGCCCGTGTCATTTGACAGCTTTGTGTCCGTCCTTATGTTCCTTCTCCGGCAGTAGCGATTGCCCGTGTTCAGTCTCCTGCTTGAACGTTTTCCCGTTAGGCTTTGAAGTGAGTGGACAATAAGGCGGTAAGGAAAAAAAAAAAAAAGAAGAAGAAAAGCCAAACCCGATGAAGGGAAAAAAGAAAAACATTGTTTTTTCTTTCTTTCTTTTTATGTGAGTGTGTGGGGGAAGGGCTGTTCAGTTTGACATTGCTTTTGTGGCTTTGCGTGTTTGTCGTCTTTTGATGTGCGCGTCCTCCTCTTCCTCCTTCTCCTTCTTCTTGCGATTTTCTTATGGATGGATGGATGGATGTAAATTTTATCTAAATCGTATGAGCAATATTTCCCAGTACAATTTTCTGTATATTTTTACATGTGCTTTTGAATTATTTTTATTATTATTTGTTTTGTTTGGGGCGATTATTCCCAATTTCCCCTATCCGCATGTTTAATACCGTTCATGGTTGTTGTGTGTGTGTGTGTTCTTGCCTCTTTTCTCAGTACATTTGAGGTCTATTCCATTTTTTCCCTTTTTCTTGTTGTTTCTAATTTTATATTTTATTTCAAAGTTCTTGTGTTTTTTGTTTTGTTTTGTTTTGTTTTGTTTTGTTTTTCTTTTGGTTGTGTCTGTGCCTTTCTTTAGCCCAGTTGGTTCTGTGGGGAAAACAAGAAGGATCATCCGCAGGGAGATTTAGGGATACATACATCACAGGCGGTGAGAGTGAGGGTGAGGGGGCGGGGAGGAGCGTGCACGGCAAACAAACAAACAAACAAAAAGAAAGAAAGGAAGAGGAGGGAGGGAGGGAGGGAGGAACGGCGAAGGGTGAACAAAAAGAGGGAAAAGGGCAGAAAAAAATAAATAAATAAATAAAAATAGGGGAAAAAGGGGGGAAGGGGGGCCAAACAACAACAACAAAAAGAAAGGAAAAACAGAAAAAAAAAAAAAAGAAAAAAAAAATCTTTTTTTTTTTTTGGTCGAGAGGCACCAGTGCCCATTGCTATTTTGGTGACCGTTACAACGGCAGCAAAGGAAGAAGGGGAAGGTGGGGGATAGGGCGACGAAAGAAGAAGAAGGAGAATAAAATAATTTAAAAAAAAAAAAACAAATAAATTAAATTAAATTAAGAGGTGGGTATTAAATTAACCGCAGCGGCCAAAAAAAAAAAAAAAAAAAAAAGAACAGATACTGCAGTGAAGAAGCGGATAGCACCGGCATTTAACTCGGTTGTGGAATCCAAGGGACGGGAGGGCGTCTGGATTGAGGGGGGAAAGAGAGGGACGGCGTGTGTGTGCGTGTGTGTTTGTAACTACGTGCAGCCAATGGACCACCAAACCATGTCTAATGTACCGCCCCGTATAGGGTCGGCACCGCTCTCACACTCCCAGCAGTCATTTCCGCGTGTGGAAAGCCGGACTGCGGGGGCGTTCCGTGTCTGTCCACTGCGCCCCGGCGGCGAACGACCACCGCCGTTGCAGCCATCGGCGTCTCCCTCGACAAACTTCTTTGACCGGGCAGCCCCGCAACCGACAGAAACTCCGGCAGCCAGTCACCCAGCCAACTGCATCTACGATATAGCGGAGTTTGTGAAGTGTCAGCATACAAAGGAGTCCCCGCCAAAGGGCATTCTGGATTTTGTCACGGAGTTATGGAAAGAGATGCCCGAGAACAAGGACAGTAGGCCTGAGCACATTCTTTCCCGTGGAGGAACTGTTTA